TGTAATAGGTCCTTTACATAAAAACACTATTTTTTTCTCTTCCCTTTCATCTCTCAATACACACAAAAATTCCATCTTATTACACAATATTTCTCAAAATAAATACAAAACCCAATAAATATTACTACTCTTAATCACAGCCAAGTACATAGTTGACACGATCACGTTATATGCATCCGCTCTTTTCACTGCATGTGCACACTTCAACAATCAAATGTTACTATTTATTATTCTCAGTTAAAGAACCTTTTTAGCTTCGATGCAAAGCTGAGAAGGTATTGGTTTTACTATGATATGTTATTTTTTCTGTTACCACTTTTTCTCAGCTCTCATCAAACGGATTTCTTTCAACGATACGTCAAAAGATCACAAATCATATCTAGTCGAAGACATTACCCTCAAAAATTGAAAAAATTTCCCTCATTCTCCATTAATGAGGGAAACCTCCAAAAAAATTACAAATTTAAAAATCGCTAATTTTCGAAATTTTTTCAATTTTTTTTACTAAAAACTGTCATAACTTTTTCAAAAATGAACATATCAATATAATTTTTTTTTTTATAGATGCTTAATGTTTTTACCTATTATTTGGTATATTTTTTCATAAATTTAACCCTTTACTAGCCCACAAGGGAGGATTTAAAATAACATTTTTTTCACAAAAAAAAAACTATTTCAACTTAACTTTTGAAAGTGTTCCTGGACATCTGACATTTTTATATATATCTTAAATTAAAGTCAATGTAATGTATACTATTATGAAAAACAAAAAATTAACCTCTGAACTTGTGTTCGTGGTGAAAATGGCTACCAAAATTTTTGTTATGAAAATTCTCGATTTTATCTTTTACATTTTTTACTTTTTAATGCTATAACTTTTTAAAAAATGTATGGATCAATACAACTTTTTTATGAGAAATAATATTGTTATCCATTTTTCATTCGACATACTTTTTTTTAACTTAACTTTTAAAAGTGTTCCGGAAGATCTGACATTTTTATATATATCTTCAATTAAAGAAAATTTAATATCATTTATTATGAAAGATAAAATTTGACCTCTGGACTTGTCTTCCTAGTGAAAATAAATATCAAAATGAATAAAAAATTACGATTTTTGTCAAATAATTCTTTTTTATATTTTTAACTTAATAATGCAATATCTTTTTTTGGAAATAAATGGATCAGTAAATTTTATTTTTTTATAGATGCTTGATGTTTTTACCTATAATTTGGCATATTTTTATTATAGATCTGACCCTTTATCTGCTCACAGGGGGGATTTAAAATGACAAATTTTTCACGAAAAATTTCCTTTATACTCAACTTTTGAAAGTGTTTCGTAAAGTCTGACATTTTTATATATATCTTAAATTAAAGATAATGTATTGTACTTTATTATGAAAAAAAAATTTCGGACTTTATTTTGTCTTAATGGTGAAAATGGCTACCGAATGCTATTTTCGTGTAATAATTCTCGATTTTATTTTTTACATTTTTTACTTTATAATGCTATAACTTATTGAATAGTGTATGTATCAACACAATTTTTTATGAGAAATAATATTTTTTAATAATTCCTTTGTTTTAATAAGGAAATATCAGACAATGTAGCTTTTGGAATAATCCACCAATTTTTTAAAATTAAACTTTATCTAAAGATTTGCATCGAAGCGTTTTTTTTTTTTTATAGTGATTTTAATCACTATCAGAAATCATTATACTTGATCCAATTATGCCGCGATCTCCCTGTGCTGGGTTTCTTTTCACTGTATAAACAAAGTCATAAAACGCATAAAAAGTGTTGATGAATATGTTCGTCTCTAAAAGGGATTACAAGAATGACACCAGGAGAGACCCTGGGATTGGTGCGCTCGACCTGTTTCATTCGGACTCAAAGACGAACAAGTCGTAATCATTGTCTGGTTCTCGCGAGCTATATAAAATAAATACTGTAAAATAATTTTAAATATTTTTATCGACATTTGAGCTTGTATTTGTTAATTAAGATCAATATCCCTGCGTGACTTCCACTTGCTGTTATTACTTTTTCATTACAATCTTTTTATATAATCATATATGAGGTTATAATAATTATATCGTATTATTATTGCGAATAAGTCACGCTCTCAATTACTCGGATGATAAAAATATATTTATTTTTATAATTTTTAGTTACTTTAAAAACTTTTTGATCTTTTTTAGGCATTGTCGTACGTCGGTAGTGCTCCAACGTAGACACAAAGGTTTATTAAAGTTTTATGTATATATATATATATATATATATATATTGAAGACGAGTCCGTCGTTCGAGCTTTCTTGAGTCCTCCCGTTGGATAAACTGATCAGCCCTAATCCCTCTAATTAGTGGACTACTAAAGGGGTAGAGCTTAGACCCGTCAGCACAGTCTAGCTCAAAAGTAGCAGACTGAAGGGTGGCTCCTTGTCAGCCACCAGCACAACTACCTTTTTACTATAACCACTAAAGGACGGTTAAGCCCAAACACTAGCCAGCTCGTACACTAGTTATTAAGATTGACTAAAGGACCAGCAGTCCAACCTAGACTCTAGCCGCACACACACACACAATTTCGAGACCACCGTGAATATTAAATATTTGCGCTAAATCCAGATTTTTAAATAGTTTTTTTTATTTACGAAATGTTTCAAACACAAAAGTCAAATAAAATATAATATAATAATTTAACACAAAATTAATTAAATCTTATAAAAAAGAGTATAAAGTTATTCTTACGTCAACGACCTAACCCGTAACTCGACGTTTCTTCGACAAAAACGTCCATTCTCGTCTCCCTCAGTATCGTCCCGTGTCGACCCTCTATACTTTTCATGTTTCCCTTTTATATTCTTTTTTCCACCATTATTAATTTGCTTACCCTGCATTTCCCTTTTATATGGAATTATTATATTGCTTAAGAGTTCAAAAATTGCTTACTACTATTGTAAAGCTTATATTATACTAAAATCGACGTAATTCAATACTTCCTCATTTAATTACTACAGCATATAATTGGAGTTGGTGAAGCAATGTTTGCAAGTTTATATGTGACATGTTTGTTTGGTTTTTTGGCTGCGAAAGCCTCAAAAAATCTGAAATGTACGCACAATGTGATTTTTCAGAGTCGTCAAAATACAACAGGTCAAAATAATTGTTGCTCTTGGTCGGTGACTCATAGCGGATACACTGATCACTTCATCTTTACTTTATCCCGTTCCAAGCCATACACGTTGATCTTTTAATGTTGACAGATACGTTAGGGGTTTGTCGCTCAAATATTTTTATTTGTGACACAAGTGTGGGGAACGCCAATCCCGTGAAATCATACCTGTGTTGCCCGTTAAAATATTTTCGATTAACGCGATTTTTATGATCTCCCTTGACGTGTCTCGCAAAAATGGACCACTTGAAACAAGACTGATTAATATTCTGTGGTTTAATGATTGCTGTTTTCTTATTAGTTTCGGGCGGAATGGGAAAATATGATTAGCCGATGAGGGGCGTATACTTTTATACATTGAGCATAAGACCGTCAATATGCAATAAAATAAAGCTGCTACCCTTTCCCGAGTACGTGTCTTCCTCAGCGAGCTTCCTCAAAATCTTCATCAACCGCATACCCGATGTCCGTATCGGATATCAATGCTCTAGCCCGTGTCTTGAAGGCACAGTCTTTAGGCGGTATATGGTATGAGGCCTACAATTTGAGATTATACTTGATAGGACGGCTACCTACGATTTCAGTAAGTCTGGCGACCAGCTCGGATTTAACGACGCATAGAAAATCTCTGATAAAACCAAACGGCCCCCCACTCCAATGCGAAATCGATCTCGTCACAATCACGGGTAACCATCAATTGCATACGTAACCTTTTCGACCTAACCGCGCTGTTGTTAGCTCTACTAAGTTTAGCCGCTTAACGTTATGACACAGATGTAAACGAAGTAGCTTTAATCAAAAATGAAATAAATTATATTTTTATACATCAAAGTAAAGTCAAGTAAAGTAAAGAGACTTTTTTTTATAATAAAAATAAATCGCAAATTAAAATAAAATCGACAGTAACATTAGGTATAGGATTTATTTTATTATTTTTAATAAATTAATGAATTAATAATTAAAAAATAAATTTATTAAAATAAAATAATTTTAAAAATATACACACTTTATGTAGAAGACAATTGAGGTGCTGGTTCATGGTTTTTTTTTATACGTGTAAATTATTAAATAATAAATTTCTGGTTTTCAAAAAGAAAACTGCACTTCAATGATAATTAAAAACAAAAGTGACAGGACAAGAATTGTTTAACCAGTTATATAGTAAAAAATAAAATACGTAAGCGTGAAACACCGTCATTAGTGTCATTTTTATCATAAAATACATATGACAGTGATCGTTACTGTACGATGGTTCTTTTAATATTAATAATACACAGACAGCGTCTCAATTTTTCCCATTACATTACAGACGCTTGTGAGCGTTATAATAGAATACTACCTTTGATGTTGAAAATATGCTTACCTAAGCGTCTGGTATTCGAAGATAAAATTCTTAAAAAACATTGATAGTTACGTTGGGTTTCATCCTTTCCACCACCTTCTATGCATTAGGTTAGTTTACGTTGGCTTTAACTCCCCCGTATACCTCCCCTACTTTCGGTAAGATAGTGAGTGGGTGAGGCGGGAGGCAGCTCTCTTTATTTTAATCTACTTTTATTTATTCAAATTTTTCATCTGGTTAAACATATAATTATTCTATTATAATATTATAATATTTTTAAAGTATACGGAGAATAGAACAAAATTTTTTTCTAAAAATTATAGAACGTATTATATTATTAACTACAGAAAAGAAAAACTAATACATGAAATAAAATTTCGAATGTCATAGTTTAATAGTTACTCTGTATAATTTGATATTTTTGGTAATAAATATTTCAATTTGACATGTTTACTTATTAATTTTTATTAAATAAGAAGCTATTATAAAGACAATTATTTTTGATATGATATTTGTATAAAGAAAATTGTGGAACTATAGCATCTTAAAAAAAGCAAAGAAAGGAATAATGGTTTGTACATTGTATTGTTATAATAAGTCATTATAGTTGTAATTATGCTTCCACTATTTTACAGAATTATCCAGTCTTGTTTAGTTTATGTTTGGTTTTTTTTGCTGGTAATCAATATTTTTAATAAAAATAAAAATAGACACAGAAATATTTTTTTTTTTTGAGGTAAAAAAGTAATGTACTTTTTGTAGCAATAGAAATACAGTATCAGTTATTGTAACATTTAAGTAACAATTTTAAAAGAATTATACTTTGTTTCTTAATCGCTAACATTAGAAATTTATAATTTAGTTATGACTAAATCATTAATTTTAAATTATATTTATGATTATTGAAATGTTATATTTATCTTTTACGAACAAATTTTATACGTACTAATATGATTTTAGAAAATGGAATGTGGTTTTCTTAATAAATATTGCTCTAATTAAATCTATTATTGAACGATAGGATAGAATAAATTATAGTATTATATAAATATATATGTATATTTATTTATTTTGAAAGCACATGGTATCCTAGTGAATGACCAAAATGAAGAAAGTAAGTTAAAACTTAATGAACTCTATATTTAAAAAAAAATCAAGTGTTATTTTTGGTTAAATTAATTAAAAACTAATTAAATCTGATCTGGTGCATCATTTGCCTAGAAACATCTTTTACACTTTAACATGTAAAACTACCCTCTTAGCATGTTAAATTCGGGAAACAGAAATATGTAATTTTGATCATTATAATAATAATTATGACCCTAATGTCCTTATGTCTTGGACTTTTTTATAAATCATGTTTAGAGGTATTAAATAGTGATGATGCTTTAGCACAAATATTATTCTCCCTTTACTAACTTTGTATATTATTTTACTTGTGTCTTTGTAATGAACATAATATAAATACACAAATATCATAAAGTGTACCCTACTGAAAAAAAAAAATTTGTATTTAATGGGTGTTAACTTAATTAAAACTGAAGCTAATAACATATAAAACTTCTCAATGGCGGTGAGGTGTGTGTGCAGCTATTTACATTATCAGTCATTTCTCGGCCGTACTCTTCCACTCAGCAAAGATTATAAATGAACATAGCTTCCGTAGTACTGTTCCAAATGTTATTATCTACCAGTCATTTTCGAATTTCATCATTATTTATTAAAGAAGATAGTAAATTATGTACATTACCATTTGAAAAAATTTAAGTTGATATCTCTATAAGTTATAAAGGATGATTTTAAAAGTAATCTAAAAAATATATAAAAAAATGTTAAAAATTATTAAAAAATAATGTTTATTGTATTTATTTTGAGAATAATCTAATTTCATATATAATATTTTTATGTTTTGTAAGTAGATGGTGTCGCAGCTGATAACCAAAATGAAATATGTAAGTTAAAAATAAATCATCAATTGTATTCATTACTATTGAAATGGGTTAACATTGGGTATAGATTATCTATATTGATGTTGAGTAGGAATTGCTGTTGGTATAGTGCTCTTTTGTTATAAGTAAATTGTTAACAAAATATTGAATGGTAAGTCCTGTGCAACTAAAGTTTTATTCATATGAGAAATGTAAAACTCATATCTAAAAAATATAGTTCACATTATTAACTTAAATAGGGTGGTTTAGGTTTGATTTTTGATTTGAAAAAAAAAGGAATGTTGATTTCATATTTCCAAATACAACATTTTAGTGGCGTTGAGTTATATGTGATAATGTCTACCCACTTTAAATACAGTAGAATAGTTTGATTTTATTCGTTAAAAATAATTGGAAATATTAATGTCTTAGTATATAAATCGGTATAATTTTTATGACCATTTTTATCTTCGATGCGAAGCTGAGAAAGTATTAATTTTACTATGATGTGTTTTTTTTTTTTTTTTTTTTTTTTTT